AGCCCTCGGCTCCACCCTGGCCCCCCGGATCCTCGGCATCCCCCTGGCTCGTTGGCTCTCCGTCATCGCCTCGGGCTCCTCCACCACCTGCTCCGCCGCCGTTGGTCGGCCCCCTGGAGTCGTTGGCCATTCCTCCTCCATGGCTCCTCCCTCCACCAGCTCCACCGTGGGCCGCTGTTATGGCTGTGGCCTGGCTCCTGCTGTGCTTGTCATTAAAGACTGTGAATTGAAGTTATCTCTGTGTTTCCTCGTTCCTCGCTCCTTGCCTCCCGAGAAGTGTGACAGAAGGACCGACCAAAACAGGAACTTCCGTGCTGTCGTCCGAAGATGGTCCTCGGGAGGAATTCGCCGCTTTCGTGGAGTGGACTCTGGCGAGAAACGGTCGCCACTCACCATCTGCCCCGTGGAGGATCTCGCCGGATCCACTCCGGACCCAGAGCCCAGCCCACCATCTCCCCGCGGTGCAGAGCATCAGCCCGAGCCCAACGATGACGGAGAGCCAATTCCCGCTGCGATCGACGAGCCAGCGCAAAGCTGAGCGACTGAGCGGAGGATCGCCCCGGACGTGGAGCTCAATCCGTCAGACCAGGTGCGAGAGCCGGCGACAATGCCAGACACGAGGGAGAAAGCCGCGGACGGTGTGAGTGCGGAGAGGAGCTCCTCGTTCCTCGCTCCTTGCCTCCCGAGAAGTGTGACAACGCCTATGTTAACAAATAAAACAACGATTTGCGTAAAAATAATGATTAGTTATTACAGTCTATGTTAGTTATCGATTGAGAATTTGTTACTGATATGATCTGGTGAAAATAATAATATGGCCTGCGAGAAAATAAATAAAAAGAGTGGGGCTGCTATGAGTGCAGGAAGCCTAGGAACAGCATAGTTCAACCCAGTGGCATGACAACACCGGCCCTCGCGGCCAAAAAATAGACCGGCCCACCGGGAACCCTCCCGGTGCTCCCGATTAGCCAATCCGGGCTTGGGCTAAACTGAAAAAGTCATAAATTGTATTTTTAGAGTCAGATTTTTTGAAGTGAAAAGAAATTCTTAATATATGAAGCTTTTTATAATTATTTTTATTTTTGATTGTTGATTGTTGAAAAATTAAAATATATGTTCATAAAAGTATAATTGTTTTAAGAATAACTCTAAAAGAAAACCCTTTTCCATGTTTAACTTATTAAAATAAATTTCTGAATATATAAAGCAAATTTTTTTTTATTTTTATTATTTATTTTTACTTGCCTGTCAAGAGGTAAAATACTGGCCAAACCACAAAAAAATCTTAAACGTATCAGAACAGTCTTCATAAATGTGTAATTTTTAAGTATCTGAAAGTACATTTTAATTGAATTTAATTTCTTAATATATAAAGCAAATTAACTAATCCAAACCAAACTGTAACTCTAAAAGAAACTAGAAACTAGAATTTTTAGTTTTTGTACCTTTTAAGGATGTCTCTAAACACCTCCAAAGGGAGATTTTGTCAGATTTAGTTAACTTCTGCGCATCCTTAAGTATATAGTTAAGTAAATGCATACACACACACACACACACACACACACATGTGGTAGTGTGTGAGGGCTGACAGCTCTTTTTCAGATGTGCTGTAATGGCTTGCTGTTAATGCTAAGGGAAGGAAAGATGAAACGTGTCAAATTAATAGGAACCTTTTAATATGGATGAAAAGTGTGTATGTGTGTGTGTGTGTGTCGTAGTGAGTCGTATCACTACAGGGAGTCTGTGTAAATTGTCCTCTAGCCAACCTTTGCAACCTTTGCCTTCACACACACACATATATATCATAGAATGATATATATATATA